ACAGATTTGCTAGATGGGAGCTTATAGTGATTCGATTAAGGGCAAAATCGTCAATACGAGTGGGCCAGTGAAGCATCTGGTTTATGGGGTTGCGTGGGATATTTTGTTATTATTATAAAGGTTTGCTACTTTGTTTCCTATCCTAAACCTAAAAGGAGCAGAGAAACTTGTCTAAGAGTACATAGAGAGCTTCTGAATCCGATCGGCTTTTCTTTCTCATTCTGCGGAGGAGCCATGGGGAGAGGAAAGTTCAAGAGCAAGCCCACCGGTCACCGCAACTTTTCCACTCCCGAAGAGCTCCGTAAGCCTCTCAATTTTCCTTTTCTTCTTAACCTTTTCGCGAAATTCTTAGCTGATCATTTTATTTTAAGCAGTAGAATCAAATATACTTTCTTCGATTTCCTTTTTTTTCTTTAACTTAAAGTTTTTCTGCTTTCTCGATCAGCTACCCCAAAAATTTTTTTTTTTTTTTTTTTTTTTTTTTTTTTTTTTTTGTAGAAGAGGAGATTTAGGGTACTGGATTCTAAGTTCTTGATTGACTGAATCATTTTTGGTTATTGAGAGGCTTATAATTAGTAATCTGTGGTTGTGCTGCTTAATTACGTGTTGATTCCGTTTTAATTTGATGAAATAGTCGAATTAAGCCGACTTTGATAATTTGTTCATTTGATAATTTGATTTCTAGATTAGGTGAATATTTGGGGTGTGATAAGAAGTCTGATTTGAGGATTCATTTTCCATAAGGAAAGAAAATTTAGGAAGTTATTTTGTTTTCTTCCACTCTTTTTGTTTTCACCTACTTATGAAATATTGCAATATATTAGTTAAAGTAAGAGTTTATGATGTCTGTTGATTTAATTTTTTTTAAGCTATGAGTTATAAGGAGTTCCTATAGTAGAGTTTATGGTGTTTATGAAGATTGCTGATTTTTCAACTCCATAGTCTATTGGCCGGATTGGGTTACTCCATGGGCATGGTATTTGTTCATGTCTCCAAGAGGGCGAGGTCGAAATTCTAATAGTTAAATAACTCTTTCTGGTATTTTGGAGAGGGTGATTAATGGTAAGGTATTGGTTTTGAGTTTTCCACATTACGTTGACTTGCTACGAGCATTCGGATAACTTTTTTAGGTCAGCTATATTGAGGGTTTGTTAGTTTTTGTTTTTCTTAGTTGTATTGTTGTTGTTGCAAAATATATTTTTTAGAAAACATTGGGAAACTTGTTTAACATGTTTTCATATTCATTCAGTTTCCCTTCTTTAACAGGAAAATTTTGTTTTAATAGAGTAACCAAACAGGCCTTCTTTTGTAGTAACCTTTTGTTGATCTTGATCATATCATTGCAGTTGCTGGAACTTCTTCTCGCCCTCGCACTTTTAAAAAGGTCTCTCTTCATAATCATTTTTTAAAAGGTTATAGATATGTACATTCATACGATTATTATTATTATTATTATTATTGTTATTATTATTTAATGTTATTAGCAAGAAGCTGAACATAAAGAGGAGGAAGAGTCTGAGGAAGAATCTGGAGAGGAATCTGAAGAAGAATCCAATGAGGTCAGTATATAACATCCCGACTTCAATCAAGAGAACTATCTCATATTTTTTTAACTGTTCTTATGACTGACTAAGCAATATGGAATTGTTGTCTTGCCACAAACAATATAAGCAGAAACGTAAAGGTATTGAAGGAATTATTGAGATCGAAAATCCTAATTTGGTAAAGCCAAAGACAGTGAAAGCTAAAGATATCGATGTAAGTTTCAAACTCTCCTTCATAAGTTATTCTCTAGTTGAATTCCATGGAAAGTTGACACTGTTTTATTGTGCAGATTGGCAAAACAACTGAACTTTCAAGGCGTGAAAGGTAAATCTATTCCTCGTCCTTTGTTTGTAATTGTTTTCTTCCTCTTGTCAAGCATAGGTTCTTCTGCCATTAAAAGATTCATAATAGTTGGATATTGGGGGGGGGACACCATAACGTTGCTATTTTATGGTATATGTTTTTGAGTTCAAAATACTAATAATCTTAGCTACTGTTTAGCAGTGACTTTGTTGTCTATAAATTTAATTGAAGTTATTTTTTATTTAGTCTCATTCTTCTCTCTTTCTTTGCAGAGAAGAGCTTGAAAAACAGAGAGCTCACGAGCGATATATGAGACTGCAGGAACAGGGAAAGACTGATCAAGCAAGGAAGGACTTAGGTATTTGACATTGAATAATATATTTTTCAGATTGGGTAAATTAGTCATTTTTGCTAGAGGAGTGAATGTAGGTAAGCATATATTATTTGCTATTCGATTTAGTTAGATTTAGAGGGATGAACGACTTTAAAGAAGTTGCAATTTCTTAAACAATTCTCTGTTATGTACTTGTATATAGAATAAACTTGTTCTGCACGTTGATGTTCTAGTTGTAATATTTAGCTTAAGTTCAGTGGAGAAAGGCAATTTTGAGGATGTGAAGTGCGAAAAGAGCTTGTGATGCATTTTGCCACTTCCCGTTTTCGCATTTCTAATGTTCTGGTCTTGTTGATTTTGCAGAGCGTTTGACCCTCATACGTCAACAAAGGGCAGAGGCTGCTAAAAAGAGAGAAGAAGAAAAGGCTGGTAAGTATCACTACCGCCACTATTTCTATCTTCATTCCATTAAGTTGAACATATGGGAACTGACAATTTTACTTTGTTTCTTTTACAGCCAAAGAACAGAAGAAGGTTGAAGGTCGCAAATGAGCTTGTTGCAGATGTCGAGCAAAACAAGCTGTGGTGCTGCTCTAGGGACAAAGAAAATATGTGTTTCGTAAACATATACTAGCTAGTTTTTTTCCCCTTTCTGCTGAGATACTTTGCTAATTTTGTCTACTGATAGTTGACTATATCATTCTAAAACTCAGTTTCATGGTTTAGTTTTCAGTTTCATTTTGTTGCTTTATACCTATATGTCAACCTAGGTGATTTTTTTTTTTCTTATTTTAGTCATTTGGAAAATTGGAAGTTAGCTTTTTCATGTTAAGAAGCATATATTTGTGATGCCCGAGATTTAGAGCAATGCTATTATGGTTTAGCTATATCCGCTCTTTTAATCCAACCAACCTGCAATGCTCCAAGCTATTTTTGTGCATACATAAACACATATTTGTGCATCAATAATAATATCAGGAAGCAGAATCTTTTTGATAGTTCTTTTTTTTTTTTTGTCTATTAGAGATATTTTTGGGGGGCTAAATATGAAAATAGCAGGCTGTTTTTCAGGTCATCTTTAAAGGAGAAAATTGCATAATTTATTTTTAAAGTGCATAGATTTAGAGTTTTACTCTTCATTCTTAATTAATATTCTTTTATTAGTATAGTTATTTGATTAAAAATGTTGTTAATCAAAATTAAGAAATAAAAATCTTAATTTATATATTTTAAGGGATATTTGTCTACTTTTCTTAATCTAACACATAACACTTGAATTGTGAGGAAAATCAAAATTCCGATCTAGTCATTGATTTAACATCCTCTCTTTTTTTTTTT